GGATAAGGCATGAATTCAACAAGTAATTGCAATTAACAATTAAAGCAAGTAAGGAGTAAACTTGATAATAAAAGATAGAACATGTATTAAACACTTCAATTAAATGCAAGAAAGAAACCTAAGAGTATAAACCGGACTAATGCCACATATAAGCTTGTGTGCACACTCGTCACCTCGTGTACACGTCTTTCACATAATTCAAATAGTACAATCAACCCAAATCCTAAGGGGTAGTTTCCCCCACACAAAGTTAGGCAAGATATTTACCTCAATTAGGCCAAATCAATACTCAAAAAAGCTTTTCCCTTTAAAATTCACCTCTGCTCAGCTCAAATCTAGCCAAAAAATGACTTAATAATAACAAACAATGCAAGAGAAATCAATTCTAATTAATAAAGCTATGATCTATATACAATTCCTCAAAAGTCAACCCCGGGCCCGCCCGATCATAACCCAAGTCGAATGATAGGTCTCGATTAACCATAGCTCCACGAGTTCACATATGTGTTTGGTTTTCAAATCCGAGTCCAATTCGACTCTCAAATTTTTATTTTTCAAAATATAGACAAAATTCCCAAAATTTCTCTTAGATTCTCATGAATTTGATGTTAAATCTTGTATATAATCATGAAATATAATTGAAAATTGATTAAAATCAATTACCCAATATGAAAATCACTCCACAAAATTGCCTCCTACCAAGTCTAGGGTTCAAAATAAAGTAAAATGAAGCTAAGTCCCGAAATACTCAGCTATAAACAAGCTGTAGATCACGCATTTGCGACCTGGGGTTCGCAAATGGGAACCCCACAATTGCGGAAACTTGATCACAAAAGTGACCACTGAACAACCTTGTTGACGTTGCAAATGCGACATAAAAGCTCGCAAATGGTAAGCCGGGCACCTCGCAAAAGCGACAGGTGTGTCGCAAATGCGAAAAAATACCATGCCCAGGTGCCATCGCAAATGTGAACTCAACAGTGCCACCCCAACATCGCAAATGTGTAACCCTCCTTGCAAATTCGAGGTTCGCAAATGCGAACAAAATCTCGCATTTGCAAGACCTGAAGAACCAGACCAAAACCAGCAAAACTAAAACTCTTCCAAACACTCTGAAACGCATTTGAAACCCACCCGAGCCCCTGGAGCTCCACACGAAATATGCACACAAGTGCATAAATATCATACGAACTCGCTCACGCGGTAAAAATACCAAAATGACATCTAGAACCATACCAAAACACATGAAATTCACCATGAACTTCAAGAATTACTAGAAACACAACCACGCGTCTGAATCATATCAAACCAACTCCGAATTACACCAAATTTTGCAGACAAGTTTCAAATGGCAAAACGGACCTATTCCAAGTCTCGAAACCTAAATCCAAACCCGGCAGCCATAAAGTCAAATCATGGTTAAACTTAGAAAAATTCTAAACCTTTAAATTGCTAATTTTCGCCAATTAGTACCGAAACCTTCTAGAAACATCCAGATGCAAATCTGAGCATACGTCCAAGTCCAAAATTACCATTCGGACCTACCGGAATAATCAAAACACCGATCCGAGGTCAAATACTCAAAAGTCAAACTTGGTCAACTCTTTCAACTTCAAGCTTCTCAAGTAAGAGTCATCCTTCTAAATCAATTCCGAACCACTTGAAAATCGACACCAACAAGGCACGCAAGTCACAATACACCATGTGAAGCAATCGTGACCTCTCACCCCTGAACTAAATGCAAATACTCAAAACGACCGGTCAGGTCGTTACATCCTTCCCCACTAAAACATACATTCGTCCTCGAACGTGCCAGGAGTCGTTCCAAAGTCACCAAATCACTGCATGAGCTCACCATACATACACCCGGGTGTGATCCCATGTCACCCCAATCCATGTAAGCCTAACAACACAACTTAACTGAAGATTTCACCTCATCCTTAGTCCATAAACCTTAGAACCCAATCCTCAATGTCTGAAACTCATAATAAGACCCGAATCTCGCATCAATACACTGTATAAGCATGAACAAGTTGGATCAAGTCGCAACCTCAACCCAAGGTATAATCACCTGACATTCCATATAACCCAGATGTTTGTAGCAATAACTTCCGACCACCAGAGCAGCTCTATAACAATCTCTGTACCGGTAATACACTTCATGCCAAATAAAACCTCGTTCTGGACCTCCGCAACGTTGCTAGTGATAAAAGAAACATGCAAAAACTCATAACCACCCACTAAATCAACAAGTCAAGAAGCTCTCTCGTCCGACAAGGCTCATTGCCAAATTATGAGCAGAAATAAGGTATCATTCTTCCAAACACTCCTCATCCTGATTTGATAGTGCGAATATCAGGTCTAGAAACCTCATCTCAGCCAATACAAGCAGCCTAACTAACAAATCACCCTAAAACCACATGGATTCTCACACAACACGGTCCATTCACCAAACAAGCAACAACTCAGAAAGAAAGTATCTCACAACAGAAATAAATCAAGGTACGAGGACTATCTAACAAGTACAACAAATATAACAATAAAAGTACAATTTCATTAACTCATCCCACAGAGGTAAAATAAAACATGAAATAAACACAAGGAAGGGTATCCCACATAACATCAGATGCGGAGCGCAACCCGATACCAAATATATCAATCCACATAGGGATACCCATCAAGCCAAAATGATCGGGATCACTAATCACATGTATGCCAACATCAAGCACGCTAGAATGCACAAATATAAATGTGGAAAGATGAATAGGAATAACACAATACGGAGAAAAACAAGCACAACTAAGGTGCAATAAGCAAATCAACATCACGAGGGCCATCTAGCCCATATCGCCATAAGTCCTTAATGGGATTACAACATGCGTGTGAATAATTATATAATCTCATAACCCATCATAGCATAATAGAGAAGCACATAGCATAGATTGGGGAACGAATAACATCCATTATGTCCGGTAATATACCCACGATAGCAATTGCGTAAGAGTAACCAAACCTGATATGATATAGAATACGCATTCTCATTAGGCTTTCAAATAGCCCCCAAACCAATTCCTATCATTCCCAAATAGATAAATAACCTTCCAAAAGACTATAGCAACCTATCCATAATGTATGTCATTGGTTATCCTATTCTCAACATTTCCCCACAATCCGGAATCAAGGAATAGTCCGCCTACGAGGACATCCAGCCCCCAAAACCCGATCCTAATTTCGCTACTCAAATGGCTGGTACATCACTCGCACTTCATCATCTTACGGAAGACGCCCACATAGATCTTCCCTGTTACGCAGCAAAACCTGAACCTCAGAATCCCGAAAGCAGGAGATCACCGTAACACCAGTCAAGCATCCGCAAGTCAAAACACAAGGTGCCTCCTAGAATGCACGCTCTACTCATGCGATATCTAATAGTGCCAGCATTCTCTCAACTTCTGATATCCATCTAGGAGAAAACCATAATGCGCAACATATTCCTTATGCTAGTAGCAGCCAGCCAGCTCAAGCTGTGGTCGACACCATCAAGAACTCTTCGAAACTTGTCCGCACATAGTCAAGCCATCAAAACTGAATTTTCCCAACTCAACCGAGTCATGCAAACCGTCCAACCCAAGAGTACTTCCACAAACACAGGTAAAGAATTGCCACCCAAAAAGGACCAATTACCTTTATTGCTATGCTGACCCAACACCACCGAGCTGACCCATTTCTTCGGATCCTCCTTGACTTTTCTTCAGGATAACACTCCTACCTGTCGGTACACAACGATCCCAAAACCAAAGCTCAATGCAGAAGATCCGAGCATGAACCACGTAGCCTAGAAGCTCATAAACCACTATATTTTCTCTGAAGGACCCCATAATGCTGCAACCGAGATACCCACTCTGAAGAGACCTTCTGTGAATCTGAAGTTGTTCCTCTAACCTCTCTAATACTGAGACGTTAAATTATTAATGACACGGAAATACCACAAGTCCCAGCACTATTCCATGCAAATCTCAGTCCTTAGCCATACACAAATTTCGGGGGACCCTTCGATACCACATATATACCTCAAACCAAGACTAATATATCACATGACCATGCAATCTGATCGTCGATAGTAGACTCCCCCACTTGGCGCAAAGCCAAAGAACATAACATTCGATGATCCACAATACCAACCTTCATAGCTCGTACAACCCCCATTGTAAGACACTTCAAATCATCTATTAAGCGCATTTCCCTCCTCATTATAGTCAAGTTCGTTTCCTCGAGTGCCTTGAATGACAATATGTACCTTTCACTAAATAGAAGTCCAATACAAAACACATAGTCTCTAGTACCACCAACTATACTCAAATCAATATTTTCTCATAACCTTACCATGATCACAACAACTAGGCAATCAATTAAGTCCTCTTAATCTTGTACTTACCAACCAGATGCCAGAACCCGCTGCACTCCACTCGTGAACAATTGAAAGATTTCTCAACACATCCCCGTCTTGAGCTTGGAGAACATCCTGAAACAATGATTGAGCATCCATGGCCCCCTCGTAGCATGTCCGCAACATCACAAACCGTCGGTGTATAGCTGATGTCGAGTGCGCAATATCATACACAAGTGGATGCAAATGAATATAAAATATATATTTTAAGCTGAATCAATGTCGCACGATAAGGAATGAAATAAGTGGAGTTTCCTAATAGTTTTGTAGACTCTCGAAAATAAGTTCAGACGTCTCTGTACCGACTGCAAGACTTTACTAAACTTGCTTATGACTCGTAGCACCTATGAAACCTAGAAGCTCTGATACCAATTTGTCACGATCCCAAAACCCTATCTTAGGTAGTCTTCATGGCACCTAATCACTGGAACTAAGTTAGCCTAACACGTGCTGAGAATTAACGAAATTTTACTAACTTAACTTCAATACACTAATTAATAACTGAAACAACATAGTTGATCCAACATCAGTAATACAATTCCAAAACCGGTAGTACAAGACATAAGCTTTTCTGAGAGTAACTAGAAATATCAAGTACATCATTGTCCCGAAATAATAGTAAACAATGGAAATGAAAAACTAGAAATATCAAATACATCACTGCAGAAGCGTAGCATGAGTACACCATAGCGGTACCCAGTAAGTATCAAGTCAAACCTCGGTAGAGTAGTGACGAGGCCAGATCAAGACACCCACTAGACATATAAACCTGTGCAAGATATAACATGAAGCTAACAATGGAAAGAACATCAATGTATGACTAATAACGAAAAGATTATTGATTTACAACCAATAATGAAAATAATAGAAGCATAAATAGCAGCAAGAAGTAAATGGGAATAAAGCAGTAACAACACCAAAGAGATATGAATGAACTCAAATAAGGAAAACAGATGGCAGCTCAATTAATCAAATCATTCCCAACGCATGGACTTGCAACAAGAGTTACCCCAAGGCACCACACCTCGTAACCACAAATCATGAGTCAATTTCCAAATCGTCATGTCTGGCACCTTGTACCCACAAATAACAATCACCTTCGCTCGACAAGGCCCACCTGCTACCATGTACATTGCAACCGTGTCAAATATCAATTAAAGTGATCAAGAATTGTATATATAATACCAAATAACCGTAATAATACTCTGAAATAAAGTAAGACGTCAAATGAGATAATGAGTATATTTTAGAAATCAAATAAAGTAAAATAAGAACAAATTATACAAATAGAGTATCATATAGGTTTAGTTTAGAAATCAATAAAATAAGTAAAAATATCGTGTTTAAACAAAATAAAACACCTGTTAAATTAACGAGTTAAATATGTAAGTAAAATGTGATGACACTTTTCAAGTAAAGAAAACATCAAATAGGGTGAAGCATGAAATTTGAAAACCCAATTAAAGTAAATATGAGATAAGCATTTAAAATAGTGAAGTACCGAGTGAGATAACGAGTTTTATTTTGAAAGTCACATAAGTAAAACAACTTAAGAATTCTTTTATTTAGAACCGCTAAGTTACCAACAACTTAACCTAATATGAGATAATAACCTCATGCACATAAATTCACCTTGACAATCAATTTATCAAGAAATAACTGAGACACAAATTGGCATGTTAAGGTAACACAACAAATCACGTAGAATGCATGACTCACACAAGAAGTCAACATCGTTCCATTACTAGAATACCGACAGTCCACCAAATACGATCAAAATAGAAGTGAAATGGTTTAAGAAACAATAATAAATGTTCATCCGACAAACCATTCCAACATAAAATGTACTACGAGAATCACAACCAGGAATAACTTTATTATCACAAACAATCACAACATATCAATCTTTTGCGGCGTGCAACCCGATCCCTCTTATATCATATCATCTGTTCTTATCGCTCTGTACCATATCTTTTCATATTATTTCAATACCATTGCGGCGTGCAACCCGATCCCCAAACAATATGAATTAAGAAAACAAACTACAACCAATTATGACGTATCACAAAATTAAACGAAATAAAGGAACTAAACAAAGAAGGTCACAAGCGGATAAAATAGTTACATGATGACTCACAAAGTCAAATAGCAAGTAATGACTGTTCATGAATAAAGGCACAATTACAAAGAATCAATTAACAATTAAGGAACATAACGGATATGGCATGAATTCAACAAGTAATTGTAATTAACAATTAATGCAGGTAAGGAGTAAACTTGACAATAAATGATAGAACATGTATTAAACACTTCAATTAAACGCATGAAAGAATCCTAAAAGTCTAAACCAGTCAAATGCCACATTTAAGCTCGTGTACACGTCTTTCACATAATTTAAATAGTGCAATCAACCCAAATCCTAAGGAGTAGTTTTCCCCTACACAAAGTTAAGCAAGATACTTACCTCAATTAGGCCAAATCAATACTCAAAAAAGCTTTTCCCTTTAAAATTCACCTCCGCTCGGCTCAAATCTAGCCAAAAATGACTTAACAATATCAAACAATGCAAGAGAAACCAATTCCAATTAATAAAGCTATCATCTTTATACAATTCCCCAAAAGTCAACAAAAGTCAACCCCGGGACCGTCCAATCATAACTCGAGTCGAAGGGAAGGTATCGACTACCTATAGCCACACGAGTTCATATATGTGTTTGGTTTTCAAATTCGAGTCCAATTCGACTCTCAAATCTCAAATTTTTATTTTTCAAAACATAGATCAAATCCCCAAAATATCTCTTAGATTCTCATGAATTAAATATTAAATTTTGTATATAATCATGAAAAATTGTTTATTGAAAATTAATTAAAATCACTTACCCAATAGTTTGGTATAAATAATCTCTCCACCAAATCGCCTCCTACCGAGTCTAGGGTTCAAAATATGGTAAAATGAAGCTAAGTCCCTAAATACTCACCTATAAACAAGTTGCAGATATCGCATTTGCGATCTGGGTTTCGCAAATGTGAACCCCGCAATTGCAGAAACTTGATAGCAAAAGCGATCACTGACCAACTTTGTTGACGTCGCAAATGAGACATAAAAGCTCGCAAATGCGAAGCTGGGCACCTCGCTAAAGCGACGAGTGGGTCGTAAATGCGGAAAAATACCTTGCCTAGGTGCCATCGCAAATGCGATCAACTTCTTCGCAAATGTGAACTCAACAGTGCAACCACAACCTCGCAAATGTGTAACCCTCCTCGCAAATGCGAGGTTCACAAATGCGAACAAAATCTCGCATTTGCGAGACTTGAGCACCAGACCAAAACCAACAAAACTGAAACTCTTCCAAACACTCTGAAACGCGTCCAAAACCCACCCGAGCCCCCGGAGCTCCACATGAAATATCTACACAAGTGCATAAATATCATACGAACTCGCTCGCTCGATAAAAACACCAAAATGACATCTAGAACCACGAATCGGACACCAAAACACATGAAATTATCATTGAACTTCAAAAATTACTAGAAACACAACCACGCGTCTGAATCCTACCAACCAACTTCTAATCACACCAAATTTTGCAGACAAGTTCCAAATGACGGACTTATTCAAGTCTTGAAATCAAAATCTGAACCCGGTAGCTATAAAGTCAAACCATGGTCAAATTTAGAAAAATTCTAAACCTTTAAATTGCCAATTTTTGCCAATTTGTGTCGAAACGCTCTAGAATTATCCATATGCAAATATTCTGATCCAAGGTCAAATACTGAAAAGTCAAACTTGGTGAACTCTTTCAACTTCAAGCTTCTCAAGTCAGATTCATCCTTCTAAATCAATTCCGAACAACTTGAAAATCGAAACAAACGATGCACGCAAAACAAAATACACCATGTGAAGATATTCGTGACCTCAAACTGCCGAACTGAATGCAAATACTAAAAACGATCGGTCGGGTCGTTACACATTCTCCTAAAATTTCTCACAAAAACCCCAATTTTTTCTCTTAGATTTTATCAATCAAAAGCCAAAATCAATGATAGAATAACGAATAATAATCAAATCCGAGTTAAGAACACTTACCCAATCCAAGTGGGTGAAAGTCGCCTAGAAAATCACTCCAATCCAAGCTCCCAATATCAAAATATGATAAAATGAAGCCAAACCATCGATTATAATTTGCTGCGAAGTGATCTTGCATCTGCGGTCCAACTTTCGCTTGTGCAAAGTCGCATTTACGACCCAAGTCTCGCTTCTATAGGCTTCACTTAAACTGCCGACCTTTTGCATCTACACACACGGCTCGCATCTGCGGCTCCGCTGGTGCGACTAAACCACATAGAAGCGCCCTCCTAAGGAGCAACCACCCCTACACATCTGCATACTTCCAGTCCCAGGCCTACCTTCGCAGGTGCGGACTTCTCCCTCGCAGGTGCAACATCGCATTTGTGCACCGCACTTCGCAGTTGCGGGGTACTAGCATCAGACCTGCCAAGAAGCATCAAAATGATCTAGAACCTATCTAAAACACACTCGAGCCTCTCGGGACTCCATCCAATCATACCAACCAGTCCCAAAACATAACACTATCACACCCCAACCTAGGTGAGGTAGACAGGCATCTAATATCTTACGTATGCGAGCAACCATTCCGTAAAAACACACGATATACTTACCATATTAAAAGCTCCTGCAATCAGAAAATCTCAAACATATATAT